TAGCACCCTCCCATAGCCTCCCTTCCCCCACTAGAGCCCTTATAATCTGATATCCCTGTGACTGCTGTGTTGTAGGCACCCCCAGCCATTCCCCACTACTTACCCTTCTGGTGAATATAGTCAGCTTATCTAGAGGTCTTTGTTTTAGGAGGGTCAGCTGTACCTCGTCTAGCGGTAATCAGTTGTCAATATTCCTTTGGATAAGATTGGGGTCTGCTGTTCATTTTCCAAGTTCTATGCTGGGTTACTATCTGGGAATCCCTTTGGCAACCCTGGCCAACAACTCAAAAGAAGGTATCGCCTGTCTGGCATTGTTGCTTGTTAAGTAGCCTTTAGCTATACATAAGGACTCTTATGAAATTATATTGGCCCCTTTAATCTTTGGTTATAGTTTCCTTTTGGGTGTTTAAAGCCATACAGTTGGACTAGATAAAACTGATTTATTTTTACTGTTAAGGTCGTTTGAGGATCTGTTCCTAAGGGGTCACATGGGCTTGGGAGGAGCCCCTGGCTCCTTTCTTTTACCAGTTCCACCTATATGAAGATAACTCAAAGGTCAGGCTCGACCATGGTTGGCTTCACTTGGAAGCATGGAGGAAATGATTCCTCTGTGTTGATCCTCCTCTTTGTAGACTGAACACTAGTTCAAGTCCATCTGGTGAGGTCTCCTCAGCCTCCTTGATCAAGAGGACAGGTGACCCACCACCATTATAGAACATTTTGAGAGATGCTCATAGGCCCCTGGAACTAGTCGACCTAGGAGGGCTAGGAGCAAAAAGTGTCCTTTATGTCCCCCCTAACCAAATTATTATAGGCCTCAAAGTATGTCTGTTAAACACCCAAGAAGGTTAGTTCCACCAGTCTGGTATTTTTAATTACTGTGTGTCATGTAGATAAATCTTGGGCAAAGACCAATTGTTCTCAGATAAACCTTACCTAGCATATATTTCTTGATCTGGTATGTATAATTTGTCATTAGGTTGTTGGACTAATATGGTTCCCTCTGGTTTTTAAAACTACCTAGGCATTATTTATCTCTCACATTGTCTAACCCTTCCACCATGGTATCCCCATTTAAGGTGCCCCCATTTTTT